TTTAACTAATGAAGAGAAACGATGTAATTCACCCGTGAAATACAACGAAATCCTTTACGACATATTAATTACAGTTCAACTGTTGAAAGGTTAGCATTTTTTTAATTTAATCAAATAAAATAATTTATTTGTAATAAAACTGATGCTTCAGTTATTTTATTTATGATCATTTCAATTTAATGATCATACACATAAATTATATTTTTTTAAATAAGTTTGAGATCTTGACCAGTTTTTGTCAATCAAGGTGAATCAAGCGTGAATAATCGAATGATAACACGTTTTAAATCTAATCTTGGAAAATAATAATATAGCGCTATCGTTTCACTAGATTATGTGAGAACAGTAATTCTGTATAAATGTTTCAACGATCCTTCCAAGGTTTCAGACTAGTAAAGAATTTCAGTGTAAAATCTGTCATTACCTACATGACATTTTATTATCATTTAAGGTTAGAATATAAACTTGATATTGTGTATTATTGTTAGACCAAAATGCTACATTTATATACATGTCCAGTGCCATACTGTGAGCGATGAAGCATCATAAAGTTAGAATAACTTTACACGGAATTATAATGAAATTAGAAATTCCAAGAGGTTCAATATAATATTTTAATTGTTATGACAATCTATCTAATTCTTTTATACTTGTATTTTGATTTGTCGCCTGTTCGAAATTGTGAAATGGGACTAAAGTGTCATATTGATTGAATGGAAATCAATTTTACTGTATCTGTCCGCTTTATGAAAAGATAATCCACTGAGTGGGTAAACAACATTAACTAATTTCATGTATATACTAGAAAATTAATCTTGAAATTTCTGTGTAACAAAATGTCAAACAGTTTCGTGATCTGCTCTTGCAATTCAATCACATCTACCTAAATAATTGCAGTCAATTACAATACGATATTAGTTTTAGGCAATTTTTGTACCACTCTCATGTGTACGATTAAGCTAGATGAATTTTAATTTATATTACCATGAAAATCTGTATGTTTATTTTCAAGAAACAGTTTACTGTCGGCGAAATAAATTTCGCATTACAGTTCTGTTTGGTTTTTTTTCAGAGAAGCTTTATGTTGAGGGTTTATTATCAAGTATCATATGTTACTGTATATTGAACGTATTCACTCTTGTAGCACAGGTCGTTTTAAACATTATTATTGTATAAAACACTGATGTGAATATTAGGTTCACTGTATTTTAACAAAAAGTAATTAGAAATCGTATAAAAGATAAAAATAAGAACAGAAGGCATTGACGAGGAAGTTTAGTTTCTGATAAGTAATTCACTGATAGTGATTATCTTCCAAAGTTGATCAAAATAAATATCAAAAAAGATCGAAAGTCATTTTTGAAGTTATGAGTGTAAAGAACTTGAGTATACATACTGATTTCTAATTCCAAAATGAATCTCTAGTGAAAATCTTTGGGAAGTATATATTTTGTTCAGTTTCACGGGGAGTATCCTGCACTAGCCAGCCGTTCACTGGTACACATTTGTATAAAGAAAAGTATACTTCATTTGACTGATTCGATTCTAGCCCCTCTGACAAGTCAGCTGTTTATTGTCAACGTTTTTTAACGGATATTCTGAGTTACACTCCAAAAATGCTACTCACTTTGTGTACAGAAAATATCTTTCACATTATTTATCTCATATATTTACAGTTGTACAGCTTTTTAAAATGAAACCATAGAAATACGAAATATTTGATTTACTATTTACCTAGGATTATGGATTTAATCATACGCAATCATATTTCACTAGTTAAAAAAACTATTACTTTTATTTTATTTTAGTAATATTTGTACATTTATTGCTTGCTATGAAATGGGAACTCATAATTAGAACAATATTTATAGAGATATTCTGCATTAACTGCTACAATAACAAGGAAGATTAGTAAAATATCAACATACTTGTTGAAAATATCTATTACATTGTATTCATTTTTGTTAATTGGCGTTGAAATCTTAATCGATTTACTTACCAACATTAACAACTAACGTTAACCTGCTTGACTGATCTTTGTACACGTGTAAACTGAATTTTATAAATTTTTAGTAAGCCACTGACGGTCCTATTTCTTCGACATTGATCTTGGTGTATAATTTAATTGACAAACATATTTACGTGACCAGTAAAGTTCAACCTGTTCGGGTGTAGACAGTAACTACCGAAGACTGTGTATGAGGTTATGCAAATCCGTGAATTGATCAAGTTAGACATTAAGACGGTTAGACGCCGACCCAGTGGTCCGGTGGTTAGGCGCTCGCACACAATACTGAAGGTCCTGGATTCGAATCCTGCGGGGTGCAGGAGTCGTGGATGCGCACTGCCACTGATGAGTCCCATACCAGGACGAAACGGCCCTCTTTCAGTGCTTGCAGGTTTCTAATGGTGGTCTAACATTGATCGATTCATGGTTTCAAAATTGTGAAACATATTTACGACATTCTTATCAGGCATTGATTATATGGTTTATTTTATGTGTTATTTATATTATAACTTGTAAAAGGAAAAATCATATCTGTCAGTCGAATAATAAGTATAAACTGTACTATTTCAACTGTGAAAATGTTCTAATCTTCATCAACCCCCTATACTAATATCGCAAGTATCAAAATTAATCATTACGTTTTTCCATAAGTGTTCTTATCATCTACATTATACTTTTACATACCGTACTAAATATACAATGGTGTGTTATATTTTGTATGAATTGGAATGCTACTTTTAGAGAAAGACATAACATTTAATCAAGCAAGTTTTTATATTGTTGTGACGAAAACAACTGATAGCACAGAATGTGGTATTATTAGATAGTTTTGTGAAAAGGAAACGGAAAAAATAAACACTACAGTAGTCAGCACTTCACTTCATGTATTTCATATAAAAAAAATAAGAACAAATTGAACAGTCAAGATTGAAAATTGATTGCAAATGGGAAATTTGTTATGTTTTATTTCGACCTTATTTGATTAATCTCAAAAGTAACAAAATCGTTTGCTTCTGTGTAATCAATATTAGATAATCTTTCAGGTATTATTTATAGCCAGTAGTTAAACAATATGTAGATAAACAAACTCGTAGTATGTTGACTTTTTGAGAAAAAAAATTAAATTGTTACTCGTCTGAAGTTAAACTTTGGTAAGCAGTGTACCTAAAGATGAATAAGTGAATTACATGGTTTTTCGCAAGATAATATGCGGACAAATTAGAACTTACACTAGATTGTCAGTTTGTTAATAATCGCAGTCTAATGTAGGGTCATATGATAGTTAACTAGGTTTTCACAATGGTTTTCTGTAGGTTATCAGAGGATTAAATGGAAGCACCACTTCTGTCTGACTACTGCCAGCTCGCAATTTTCGTATTTACTTTACTGGATGGAATATATCTGTTGTTAGAAAGGAGGATCATTTCAAAAACTGTTGAACTTACATTTTCACAATAACATTATCTGATAGATATTAGTTTGTGTCCTGATAAATTAATCTCCATGCTCAAATATTATTTGATGATTATTCACTGGTTACTAATAATTGTCATTTACTGTATTTTTGATTGATTTTCCGTGAGTATGCAAACGTTATTTCTTCCTACTAAAAACTGTTTGGATATTAACAAATTCGCTTGATCCTCAATAATCCACATATTTTGTTTACGATTTAATTGGAAATGTTTGTGGATATTTGTTTCACATAGATCTTGCAGTAGTTTATTTTCAGAGTTGAAAAACATATGACCTATTATACTTTTTACTAGCGAAGCGGATTCGTAGATATTGTATTATTTTCAATGTTAAAATCACATATTGATAAAAGCCTGGAAGCACTGGAAAGTTTTTCTTTCTTAGTAAGAAATTTTTTTAATATATGTCCCTCCACGACATGACACATAAAAAGTGAACCCAGTAGCTTTGTTCTTGCACACGAACACTTGACTTTTAGACCGCTGAGCTACATCATTCAGTGGTGTGCATGTCTAACGCCAATCACTCCATGATCTTGTGTGTTCGCACAAATATAGAATGTATTCACTTCTCAGATATTCAAATAACTACATTTTAAAAGATTATTCTTCTGTTGTCTAGTAAATCTCATTCCATGCATTTTATCGATCTCCTCCATTTTATTCTCATAACTTCAAAATTCATTATCACCATTGAATCTACTTCAAAATCTTATGTAAGATATTCAAAAGAATATGTTAAGTACTAAGATTAGGTTCGTTTGAGGCAAACAAATGATGTCTTATTAAAAGTAAATCTTCTTTTTGCATTACGCATTTTTCACACAGTCGACTCTTCATTTTTTAGATTGAATTTGTTCGAATGCATTGAATCGTGATATCTTCAGCCAATAAACTAACCAAGTTATATTTCATTTTCAAGTTTTATAATAATCATGTTAACGCACATTTCAAAAGCCCTACTTTTGTTATGCAAAAAACACTAAGTTAGTTCACAGTGAGATGCAAGTAAATTAAGTGTAACAGAAAATAAATTAGATATGTTAAGAGTATTAAAACTAACGGAGAGATTCAAGCACACAAACGAATCTATCATAGGATATTGTTCAATGATCTAATTCTTAACAATTCAAGAGACTTTTAAACACGGATTAGTACCCTAAGAATCTCACCCTAGTCCAGAAATATGATGTACCTGGGTTACATTATGTATGAGATTGAGATTAAGCTTCGGTGAGAAACAGAGGTAAATATCCACTCTGTGTATATTGATTTTCAGTGGTTGAATAAACAACAAAAATTTGTGGATACGAAGCAACCTTAAATAAGTCTCCTAAAGGTTTCTTCCATCCAATAATACAAAATATCAAGTTTGTCATTTTTACTGTAAAGTTTAAGAACTTACAACGTATTCATCTTCAATGATACTGTTTAATATAATGATTTAATACTCGTCAGTGTCACCAAAATATTTTTAAAACAGAAAACTTATCAGTTCAAATAAAGTATAACCATATTAAAAACTACATTAATAATCAAACTTTTCGTGTACAGAATTGAGTAGATCTTACAAGACAAGGAAGGAATAAGTGTTTATTACAAGCATCCGTTATGCGAAACAATCAAAATTCAATTTATCTTTAGTCATTAAAATGTAACAGAAATTCATTTGATTAGATTTAGATTAATAGAATAAATGAATTAACAATTTGCATAATAAAGATTATTCCAACATCTAAACTTTATGAAGCTTTTACTTATTTGACATGTGTGAATAAAAATGATTTACTGGGCATGAATGATATTGTTGAAAGAGAAACTTTCAAAAAAAAAAACAACTGAATAGTTTATAATTCAAAATCATTTACAAATGAAGTAACATAATATTATTGATCTTTGTCAAATATGATGTATCTTGATACTTCTGGGCTTTGTTCATTTTATTTGTTTTAATATTATCAATAAAAATATTTCATATCGATTTTTGTTAACAATATACTGACAGTAGAGAAATTCAGAAATTTACAATCTACAAAATCAAATCATACATAACTGTTAGTGAATGTTAGGCAGTCAAGTGGTAGATCATCTATCAGCCTTGATCTAAAAACTTATTGATATTTTAAAATAGTTCAATTGTTTGAAGCAAACAATTAGCGAAATATTCATTGAATATAATGGCTCACAGTATTTTCTCAGTTGTTGTATTATCACTAATATTCGTTATGGTTGTAGTAGTGGTTATCGTTAAACAATTAGAAATATTTGTATTACTGTTATTATAATCAATTTCTTTAACACTAGACAATGGAGTATATACATGAACTAGGGATAAATTAACTGGTTGTTTCTCGTAAATTTCATTCATTGGATTATTGAACCAAATCGATTGAGTTATAGGAATAAAAGACATTGTTGTTTCAAGGCTATCACCATTCCCACTGTCTTGACCAAGTGATGTGAGACTATTTCGTTTTGGCTAAAATTAAGATAACAAAATAAAAAACAAACAAACAAAATATTATTTTATGTTAGATGATTGTAACAATTTCAAATAGTTTATTTGTAAATATTTTTCAATTTTTTGAAAAAAAAAACAAACGAACAATATATAAAGTTATCTGTTCTTTGTTTTTTTTTTAATGTCTTAAAAGCACTTTGAAAGTGCCCTAGAAACCAAATAAGCAACAGGTATGGAATATACAATATTGAGAAGTATCAGATTAGGACAAAATCAATATTATAGATTTGAAATAAAGTAACTGAATGAAATAACAAAGAAATGAAAAAAACCAAACGATTATATATATGCATTACGGGGTTGTGAAGATTGTTAAGTTACACATTTTTTTTTGAAACCACGATCTTCACAACCCCGTAATGCAAATTACCTGTGCTCACTAGTGACTAGCTTCGTGAGGAATCTTCTCCGAGTTATAGTGGGAAGACGTGACCAGTGAAGTTCAACCTGTTCGGGTGTAGACAGTAACTACCGAAGACTGTGTATGAGGTTGCGCAACTCCGTGAATTTGATCAAGTTAGACATTAACACCGTTAGATACCGGCTCAGTGGTCTATCGGTTAGGGCGTTCGCGCACGATACCGAAGGTCCTGGGTTTGAATCCTGCGAGGTGCAGGAGTCGTGGATGCGCACTGCTGATGAGTCCCATACCAGGACGAAACAGCCGTCTTTCAGTGCTTGCAGGTTTCTAATGGTGGTCTAACATTGATCGGTTCGTGGTTTCAAAAATGTGCGATTATATATATGGTAACAATATATATATAATGTTTGAATATGAACTTAAAACATTTTAAAATTCACAATTCCGATTCTAATGTAACTATTACTTAAATAAGACTAAAAATTATAGTTGATGAATGTGAACGGTTCTAGGTTCGAGTGTTGGGATGAAAATCAACTTTTGCATGCAGTTCTAAATAGGACAAAGTGATCTTCCTGAATTCTAATATCCAGCTCTTATTTATACCTGCTTATAGATAAGATTAAGTTGAAATAGTCAACAATAAAATTGTTATTAATTGGATAACTAAAATAATGATAAAAATAAGATTAGATAAAGAAATAGAAAGGAAAGAAAATTCAAAGCACTGTGTGGTTTATTGTTCTTTATTATTTATATATATAACACATAATTTTTAATTAAGTTTTGATTTATGACCGGTCTTTCGATTCTTTAGTGAACAACTCGATAACCATATGTTAAAAGGTTATAGAAAATTATCTGAATGTAAGCAGTGGTCCAGGCAAATGTTGAAGTATTTTAACTTATTTCGAAACACAATGGACAGAAAGTGATAAGAAATCATATAGATAGATGCTAGCTATTGGTTGCTTGACAGAGTGCAAGATGTTATCAACTATTGTTTCCTGGTTGAAACATTGAAACATTGAATAGATGTTTTCATAATTTTAACATCAATGATAACATTTCGTTTATAATAAAGTAAGAAAATTATTGGATTACAAATAACTCCAAAAGAACTTAAATGAATGTTACGTTATTTTTTTCATGCCATCTACTGATTAGGTGTTGTTTAAATTTTGTTCAAACCAGAATAAAATTACTACCTGAAATATTAAATTTAAAAACTATCTTTTATAAGATCTACATGCACTTTATGGTTGCGTTACCTTCCGAAATGTTCTGTCATATATAATATATTTACTATGATGCACATCTTGTCTTAACAAATATTGATTGATATTAAATGTTAACACCATATGATCCCGGTAGGCGTCTCTACACGCAACAGTGAAGTTCCTGACTTCGATTTCCGGCTGTGGGACTGTGTGTGAGCACTGCTGATGAATCGTGTACTAGGACTAAATGGCCATCCACTACTTCTAAGTTTTTTGTCTCCTCACAATAAAAGTATTTTCTATCCTTCCGGAAAAACAAGAATGATGTTTGCGAAGTAAACCTTACCAACCTATTCTTCGACTACGGTCTCAATCTTCTATTTTTTCTCCAGAGTCATCACTTCTGTCAATAACCATGTCTACTAAGCTTTTCCTTCTAACCGATTAACTTTTATTTTCATCCTCTTTTTCAGTAAAGTTTGTTTCAACTTCAACATTTCATCATATCACTTTATGCAATCGTACTTTTGTAGTCAATAGCCGTTATTAATTTTTTTCTCATCTACATCCTAGTTCGTTACTATTACATATTAACATATGAGGAATAACATTTTTGTGTGTTTTTGTTCACTCTGTCTCTCTGTTGTCAATGTTTGACAAAAGTTGTTGTTTTCATTAACATCGTTATTATTGTTGTTATTATCATTGACAGACGGTATTGATCAATATTTTTAAAAAAATTCAGTTTATATCTGCGATAATACGGCTTTTACAATGAGATCGCTGGAAAGAGAAATCTTCACTGAACCAGTGTTCGAATACTTTTTTTGACCCAGTTGGTGTATTTGATTTATTTCATTAGACATAATTTATTTGTGATTGTCAATTGAATCAACATGTTATGACTAGAGAGATGGATGTGTAGGTAGGTGATTGTAGATCATGCCAAAAAACATTTATGAACGTTTTTACACTACACAAGTGTTGATTGTATGCTAGTGACCCTTTGAATAATGATCACTAAATTAGTGAATTTCTTAGAAAAATCAAATGAATAGTAAGATATTACGTACAACAAAGTACTTACTGTTGCGCGATTGTCAAATTAAATCAGTTATTTTTAACAATAAAATTTAGCATTACATGTGCCATGAAGCATAAAGTTGATAATTTCATGTAATCTAATGAGCTTTCCGCAAAAGGATCAAAGGAACATTATTTGTCGAATTATATCAAGAACCGTAATTAAGCTTTTTCTGAAAATTGAAATAAGCTGAAAATTAGATAATTACTATTACATTAAACAATTTTAGAATGGACCAACCAGTTATTTTTATGATTTGTAGAGTTATTATAAATCCTATTTAAAAAACGCTTGATATTGATTAGCTGAATAATACAATAGATTGTATATACAATGTGATATTTGAACTTAACCGACTTCACGAACTAAAAGACATAGCTAAACCTCAACCAATATTACAATTTCCTACTTGAAAAGCATTCTATTATGAACAAAACTATGGAAATTACATTTACATTGGGAATGGTTTACAATAAGTCTGTCAGTCAGTTACAACGTAGAACTTCGTATGTGAGTACATAGGTTCAGGTTGCCATATTGGATTAGCACAGAGAGGCAACTGTCAGTTCAAATCCCATAGTGGTACAGATAGTAGAAGCACTAGCAGTAATGGAAAAAAAACTAGGGTTCCAACATATTATTCAAGAAGTATAATTCAGTGAGATAACTTTAGAAAGAGAAAGACACAGATGATGAGGAATTGAGAAGGTTAGGATTTGAGAGAACACAATGAAGGTTCAATAAAAAAGAACCAAAATATATGATTCCATTTATTAACTTACAAAGGATAGAATCAACCACTCATATAGTCAGTTAGAATGATTTGAGAAAGCTTTTGACAATGCTGATTAGTAAACATTATTTAGGGATAAATTTTTCTGTAACATTCCTAGTTCTGACGAATCTTTAAATTAAATGTAAAATACATAGAACTGCATTAGGTTTATAGCGTTATCCGGACATGCGATCAGTAAACACTAGTTACAGTGACTGTTGATATGAATATGTAGATTTACTCTGTTAGGAATAGAATCACAGAAATCTTAAAAAAATTTGTTACAGATATACTACTTTTACAAAACAGCAGATACTGAATGTAAAATAACACGAGAAAACAAAGTTTAGACGTACCAAACAATCTTTAGGACACAAAACATTTTTAAACAAACAGTGATTTTATGCAGACTTGTCACTCACTCCCCTCATATTCAACAAGCGATTGGTCGGTTAGTTGGTTGGTGCAAGGTTTAAAGCAGTGCCTTTAACACATAGTGTTTATTATATGAACAAAATTGACTATAGTGCTACTCAAAAGCCTAAAGATCAATTTACAAAATTGAATGTGAATTAAAAAATGGAAGTAGCTTACATGTAATAGTAGATTTTATGAGAAAAAAATTTTGAGCAATAAGAAAAATCATATAGAGCTTCACCAAAACTAAACACAGTCAAGATTGAAGAAGTACAGTCAGTAAATTCCCTGAGACCTAATGTTCAAAACCAATCATACATGTCTGTTAATAATAGCCTCATGTATACAAAAGTTTAAAAATCATTGCGAAGCTAAATACCACAAACTTAATGCAGAGTATATTTTTCGCTTTTTACTCTGTTCATATTAAGGAAATAGAAATTTTATCATACTCTATAAAAAAAAATCTGAATAAGGCAACAAGTAATTGGTTGCAATATAGCTCGGAAATTTTTCCCTTACATACAAGTGATTGATATCGTTCATTATTTTTCACGTACACTTAACTGGACTAGTTTTCATGTCAGATATTTATTTACTTTCATGTTTATCTACTTAAATATTTGAAACTGTCTCTTGTTAAGAATTTCATCTGTCAATATGCAAAGAGCAGATAGACATTTGCTGGAAAAGCTCTGACAAGTGAAAAATCATATGATTGTCAGTGTTGGCGAAAAAAACATAGAAAACCTGCTACTGGTCACGTTCAGAGTGTTAACAGCATCATTGGTTAAAATACTGAAATAGTTTTGAATTAATATGTAAATATATATTTATATATTTATTATGCCATGACAATTTTCTTAGCATACAGTTTGAGAGTAGGCATTAAAAACTCTCCTATTCTTGCAAAGCGTCTGTTTAAACTACACATTACGCAATAGTTGTCATTTACCTATGGTTTATATATCCTGCTGTCAGTTAAAATAGTATATATGTTGGTTGTAGTAGATATGCTTATTTATGAAAATTACTCGATTTGTCATTGATAACTTGATCATTACTTGATGGAAAATCACGTGTGTACAATGAATTTGTTGT